GTAGGTGTTTTTCAGGCCACCAAAAAGCTGGTGCTGAGCGAGCGGGAGGGACGGGAGCGGGTGCTGGAATTCCTGAGGAAAAACGCCGCCAACGGGCTCTCCGTGGCAAATCTCCTGGCAGGGCTCTCGTCCATCCTCTGCAGCGTCAACAGGTGGGGGAAAAGGGGAGGAAAAGGGGGGAAAAGGGGATTTGGGAAGCGGGGGAGCACCGGGGGTTGGGGGTGTCTCCGTGGTTGGGAGGCTCCGGCTGCTGCGGGGTTGATAGAGGGGGAAAAAGGGGACAATGGGGCGGAAAAGTGGAGATCAAAATGGAAAGGGGGGAGAAAGAGGGTGAAAAATGGACAAAAGGAGTGTAAAAAAGGGGGATGAATAGCGGGGATCACCCCGGTTTTACTCTCTCCATGGTCAGGATCTGCTCCAGTCTCTGCAGCATCAATAATGGGGGAAAAAAAGGGGGAAAGGGGGTGAAAAATGGGGTTGGAAAGTGAAGGTCACTCTGGTTTTGCTGGAAAAGGGGGGAAAGGGGTGAAAAAGGAAGAAAGGGGTGAAAAAGGGCAAAAGGGGTGAAAAAGGAGGAAAGGGGTGAAAAAGGGGGAAATGGGGTGAAGGGGAGAAATAGGGTGAAAAAAGGGGGAAATGGGGTGAAAAAAGGGGGAAATGGGGTGAAAAAAGGGGAAATGGTGTTAAAAAAGAGGGAAAATGGGCTCAAAAATAGGGGAAATAGAGTGGAAAAAAATGGATTGTAAAGAGGGGTCACCCTAGTCTTACTCTGTGCCCAACCTGGTGGTTGAGCTCTGCTCCAGGCTCCATAGACCGGAGGGGGAAAGGGGTTAAAAAAAAAAGTGGAAATGGGGTGCAAAGGAGGCTGCAAAGTGGGGTTCCCCCTCTCGTGTTCCCCCTCCCCAGGCAGTACCAGCTCTCCTGCTGGCTGCTCCTGCTGGGATTCCTGCTGGATTTGGCGGATGGGGCCGTGGCGCGGCAGCTCAACGCCTGCTCGGCGCTGGGTGAGTGTGACCCCTCGCCCCTTGGGGGGCACCCCGGGGGTCCCCCGTGCCCGGGGCTCTCCTGGCACCTGCCCCTCGCTGCCCTGCAGGTGCCAAGCTGGATGATTTTGCGGATTTCACCACCTTCGGGCTGGGCACGGCCCTGCTGCTGCAGCCGCATGGGGTGCTGGGGGGGCTGCTGAGCCTCGCCTACGTCCTGGCTGTGTTCGCCCGGCTCTGCTTCTTCTCCAGCGGTAAGGGCAGCCCTGGGGGGCTCACAGGAGGGGGAAAAGAGGGAAAATGGGGGAAATGGGGAGAAAAGGGGGAGGTCTCGGTGGTTTTTCCTGCAAAAAAAGGTGAAATCGGGTGAAAAAAACAAGATGGAAAGTGAGGTCGCGCTGGCGGCCGGGATCTGTTTTGCCTTCCAAAGGTGGGGGGAAAAAGAGGAGAATGGGGGTAAAAAATGGGGAAGTTGGATCAAAAAGGGAGAGATGGGGAGAAAAAGTGGAGGTCACGGCGGTTTTGCCTGGAGAAAAGGGGAAATAGGAGGTAAAAACGTGATGGAAAATGAGGTCACGCTGGTGGCCAAGCTGGGGGTTGGGATCTGCTCCAGCCTCAAAGGTGGGGGGAAAAGCAGGAAATCAGGTCCAAATGGGGTGGAAAAGAGGGAAATGGGGTGGACAGGGGGGGTGAGAAGTGGGGGGCTCCCTGGTTTTTCTGGAAAACAGGGAAAAATGGGGAAAAAGGGGGATAGAACGTTCTCTCTGTGGCCAAGCTGGGGCCTGCCTCTACTCCAGCTTTAATAGGTGGAAGAAGGGGAAAATGGGGTCAAAAAGGGGCCAATGGGCTGAAAAAGGGGGCTGAGGATTGGGGGACACCCTGGATTTTTCTGGAAAAAGAGGGAAATGGGGTGAAAAAGGAGGCTGAAATGTGGGGGGGTCACCCCAGTTTTTTGCTCTGTGGCCAAGCTGGGGCCGGGCTCTGCTCCAGCCTCAGTGGGTGGGAGGAGGAGAAAATGGGGTGAAAAAGGGAGAAATGGGGGGAGAAATGGGGTAGAAAAGGGGGAAATGGGGTGGGAAATGGGGTAGAAAAGGGGGAAATGGGGTGAAAAAGGGGCTCCTGCCAGTTTGGCTCTGTGGCCAAGCTGGTGGGTGGCTCCGCTTCGCCCTCAACAAACTGGGGGTGGGAAAAAAAAAGGAGGGGTTTTTTTTTGAGGTTTTCCCCCAACCTGAAGCCGTGGCTCTCCCCCCTCTCCAGGGATCCCATTCACCTACAGGGGCCTGCCCTGCCCCTACCCCTCGGCCCTGCTGGCCAGCACCTTCGTGCTGTCGGGGGGCCACGTGGCGCTGCTGCGCGTGGCGGCGGCCGCGATGATCGTGGCCATGGCCGACTGTGGCTCCTACCCCCACGACCGCGTGCTCGAGTCCCAGCGCTGGAAGAAGGTGGTTTATGCCGGAGGTAAGGCCGGGCTGGAGCCCTTCCTTGCCGTGCCGTGCCGGGCCGGGCAGGTGCTCAGGACTGTCCCTCTCCGCAGGGGTGCTGGCGGTGCTGCTGGCGCCGGCGCCGGTGGCCGCCGTTTATTGCCTGGCCTGGGCCGTGTCCTACATCGCGTTCCCCTCCGCCCTGTGGAGCTGCAAGGCCTGAGCCCCGCCCAGAGAGCAGTAAAGCCCGGCTTAACTCGGCCTTCCTGTGCCTTTGGTGTCGGGGAGGGGGAAAAGGGGGGGATTGGAGAGGGGGAGGGGACCCCAATCCCACCCCGGAGCTGTGGCAGGGACCGGGGGACACGTGGGGAATGGGGAGTTTGGGGATTGCCCACGCAAAGCCTTGGGAATGGGGTTTTAGGGATCAACCCCACAAACCTTTGGGACATGGGGAGCTTAGGGA